CCGGCTGGCCCGCGATGCCCCGACCGCTTCCCGCGGCGGCGGCGCTCCTCGCGTCCCTGGCCGGTGAGTGGCACCCAGGCTTTGCGCCGGGCCCTGCCGGGCCGGTCCTCTTAATCTCGGCGCATTCCGGGGCCCCGGGCCGAGGCGGGACGGGACGGGCGGCGGGTGCAGCTTCAGCCGCCGGGGGCATCGGCCCGGGAACGTCTCCCCTCTTCCTTCCCCGTGGGGGCACACCATTTTCCCAAGGGTTTTCACGGGTTGGCTTGTGTTCCGTGCGCTAGGCAGAAGCGGTGTCAACCTCAGAAGGCAGTGACACCGTCCCTGGCTCCCAACTGGGTTCTGGGCACCCTATCGGGGAGAGTTTTAAGGGATGGAGAACTGAGCCAGGGCTTAGAAATGGGTTCTTCTGCTTTGTTGTCTTGGCTTTTTCTGTTTTGCTCATACGAGAGTGTTATGTTTATATTCCATAAACGCTGAACTCTGACGATTCAGCAGCTGTGGTCTGACAGTCTGTGCCGTTTCAGAAAGGTGTGAGACAGGGCGTCAAAGTTTTTAAAAAACTTAGCATTGTACTTCAGATCCGAGATGCTGCCTGGGAAGCGGAGCTTATGATGATTATTTTATGCCCCCAACCCTTGCTTTCACCAGAGTATTTTCTCCCGAGGACATTGAGTCCTCTTGGATACTTTTGCTCTGTTCCTATTATCAAGTTTGCTGGTTAATTCACAATTCCTTCTAGATCCCCTGAATTGAACATGTGAGAGAACTCCCCCCTCCCCACCCAGTCCACATTGCCCTGCTAACACGCTCGAAGGGGACGCAGTGGCTCCTGGCTGTAACACGAATGTGACCACTGTTATGAGAGCCGTATGACGGGTTGTGTTGGCTGCCTTCATCCAGGCTGCTTTTCCTTGTGCCATACTTTCAGTATTATAGCTCCAAGTTCTTAGGGGGACAGAAGTGGAAGTCATCATTACATTTCTCAGGGCAGTCTAATGAAAAAGCAAAAAATCTCAGCCTGGCGGCTGACAGACAAACAGGTTCAAGAACACAATGAATGTTGACAGGTGCAGGCGCGAATGCAGGGCAGATGCCCACATAACCCATTCCTGTGAGAGCTGCAAAAACTCAGAATGGACGGAGTGAACGCAACAGGACAGGTTCTTTCTCAGAGGAGAACTACACCCCTGGGCAGATCAGTATTCACAGCCTTTGAGGGGTCACATGTAAATGAATTCAAACCCTTGCCCAGACCCTTACCAACAGGGTGGTCTTGTTCATATCACCCAACCTTTCAGGGGCTCTGTTTCCTCACTGAAAAATGGGGAAAATAATATCCCAGGGGTGTCACGGAGACAAATGAGATAGCATCCATCCGGCAGTCACTATGGTGCTTTTGCTCAGTTGCGTCAATCCCATGCCTCGCATCTTTCTCTCCAGCCCTTCTCCCCATTTGCCTCTGCATCCTCCTGACAGCAAGCCCCTTCTTTGCTAAGCACAGGCTATCAGCACGTAGGAATAATGAGGACGGCCGCCACTTACTGGCACTTTCTGCGTGCCAGGCACTGTTCTCGGTGCTTCGATCCACACAACAGCCTTCTAAGTACTGACATCGTCTCCATCTTACTTGTGAAGAGATGGAGTCCCAAAGAGGTTAAATAACTTACCCATGGTCACATAGCTAGTAAGGACGGAGCTGAGCTTTGAGTTGGGGCTCATGTCCAAGCAGCTAAGCTCTGTGCTGGCTACAAACTCCAACTTGCCTGGATTACCTTATTTAGACCCATTAGAACCCTGAAAAGTGGGTGCTCAAGAAATGCATGTGGAACTGGAAATGAGCGAAAAGTCATCAGGCGTTTTTGCTAGCAGAGACATAGCTTCTAATTGAACTATCTGAGTAATCTTTACCTCCTCATTTTGTTCCCTAATCTCAAATTCCTCCCCCAGAAAACGAAGGGATTTAAGTTCATATCAGTTAAATTTAGATTCAGCTGCATTTAAGAGACAAACCCCAGATAACAACGGATCAGACATAGATAGATGTTTGCTACTCTGTCACATGAAAACAAGTCCAGAGGAATTCAGGCCAATTCTAGTGCAAGGTGGCATTATCAGGAATCCACTAGTCTATATGTGACTTCCACCCTCAAGGTCACCTCATGGCTCTAGATATCTGCTGGAGCTCCAGCCATCACAAACAAATTGCAGTCTAGTTGGCAGAGAAAAAACAGAAGGGCAGTGGAGAGACAGGCCACCAGGTGAGGGAGCCACCCTCAGCCAGCTTTCCCAGAAGGCCCACGTGGTCCTGTCACTCCTATGACTCTGGTTAAAACTCAGTTGCACGTTCCCATCCAGCTAGAAAGGAGCCTTGGACATAGAGTTTTTTATTTCAGATGACTAGTGCTCAGCTGAAACTTGGGGTTCAGTTACCAAGGAAGGAGAGACGGTTTTGGAACAGTCAGTCAGCAGTCTCTGCCACGGGGCTAGCCCCTTCTGTTCTAGGGTTCCCTTCGATTCTCTGCTGCCCCCTGAGGTACCAGGCAAGGTGCTGGAGGGATGAACTCTGGTTCCCCAAATCTAGATATGCCCATGGGGTGCCAATTACTCCCCAGTTGTGAGTTCTGCAAACAAACTGTGCTCCTTGGGCCTCTGCTCCAAAGCAGACCTGCTCCCTGCTGGCCTCCCCTCCTCACCCCTCCTTCCCGTCAACCTCCCTGTGTTCCTGTCATGCTGACCCCCTTGCCATTCTCCAAATATACAAGGCTTCTGGAGCCTCCGTGCTTTGCTCGTCCTATTCCTCCTGTCTGGAATACCACCTGCTCTCTCGTCCACCTGAAGAATGTCTCCTTGTGTTGAACTTCCATTCCACCCACCCTCTCACAGCATCTGGGGATCAGTAAGAACATCTGACACACTGAGGAGTGTGGTCTGCTTCTGTGACTGCCTCACAGGACTTTGAGATCCTGAGAACAGAGACCTACTCTCGCTGCCCGGCAGGCAGCTTGCCTCAGAGGAGGCCTCTATGTACTCGTTGTATTGGGTAACCCAAAGCTGTCTGGGAATACACCGACTGTCAGAGAAATACTTAGAGAAGATCCCGTGTGTGGTCAATGACTTTCCCAGGGACTGGGCAGTGACTCATCTCACAACTCCCCATGCCAGTTGTATGGGGAACCAAAAGTTTCTCAAACTCTTCCTGAATGTTTCCATCGGGTAGGGTCTGAGCAGTGGGTCAAGGCTCTCGGGTGCTTCTTTGCTGAGTCTCCTGAATTCTGGAGAGGAGAGGCTGGGGTGGTCTGGGGGAGGTGGATCAGTGTGTGGACCCTCTTTGAATAAAGGGAGGGTTGAGACAGAGACTGAGCTGAGCTGTGCTCTTACTTTTGCGCCTGCCCTCTTTGTGGGTCTCTGACAGACCAGTGACCTTGACCGAACCTCCATGGAGACAAAGGTCCCATTTAAAAACTGTGGCCTAATGTTGACAGAAATAAGTCATATATGGGTGGTCTGATACATAGATTTTGTAAAACAGTGTATTTCCTAGACGAATTGAGTGCCTCACAAACATATGGACTTTCTGGGACATATGACAATGCACAGCATCCCTACCCCTGTCAGTTTCCTATCTAATCACCTGCCCATCTTTATACACCATACTCCTAACAGAGAGAGAGGGAGGAGAGGGAAGGGCCGGGGGTGAGGGGGGAAATAAAAGAACTATACTTCTCCAAGTAGTTAAGTCTGTAACATCCATGAACTTGTCACTTTTAGTCGAGCCGCCTACAAGCACTGCCTTCTGTCTACCACCCAAAGACACGCCTAAACGCCATACCAAGGCACCATGACTCTCATTAATATATACCTTTATTATTTGTCAGTTACAAAAGGAAAGATAGAGAATATCCAATTGCTCCAGAATCGTTTATTAGAAAGACCATCTTTCCCCCCCACCGTGTATGTGTAAGTCTGTTTCTGTAGTCTGTGTTCTCTTCTCTTGGTTTGACTATTCTTGCACCAGTATCACACTGTCTCAATCACTGTAATTTTATATTCAATCTTATAATCTGATAGAGAAAAAAAAGACATCATGATTGCCCTCTTTCCAGCCCACCAAGAATTCCTACATACCAAGCATGCCTTGACCAAGTAGCCCCAAGTTGCTTGGCCTGTCTAGGATGCCGTTCATTTGTGAACAGCCAAGTGCTTTTTTTTTTTCTATTTAAGATCACTCATCACTACTGAGAGAACAGTTTCAGTTGAATCTTAAGGAAAGCTCCCTTTCTTCAAGGGCATGCTACTCAGTTTAGGACACTCTACTCAGTTGAGAAGATTCTCTTTAGCTTATAAACACTAGCCATACACAGTAGGATTTTAGCAAGGATCTAATCACTTCCCCAAGAGAACAACGGGCAAGTAGTTCCTGGTTTCCTGGAGTTCTCTGCAGCAAGCTCGACTTTTTTTTTTTTTTCTTTTTAGAAAAGCCAGCATAAAGCACTTTTATTGCAATAATAAAACTTGAAACTCATATGTGGTACCGGGGTGGGCGTGGGGGCAGCAACAATTTATCTCACCGAATCACTACACAGGACAGCAAAGGGGTGAGAATGGGCCAAGGGAGGAGAAGCCAGGAAACGCTGAAATCAGCAGAGGAGTCAAGCATCACAAACAGGAGATGCTGAAGCTGCAATGACCAGCATCCTTTTCCTAAGAGAACATTCGAGGATTTGTCATGAAGGCTGGGCTTTCACTGGGTGTTAAGTGTACAAACAGCATCTTTGATTTAAACTTTCAATTAAAGTTCTTAAAATTTAGGAAGTGGTGGAGCTTGAAAAGTTATGAGATTACAAAATCCCCGAAAGTCCATTAGAAAACCACAGAATGAAAAAAAAAAAGCCAGGCCACAAAGAAGGCTTCAGAGGTCCCTGCTGGCCCAGGGACAGATACCTGTAGTGTCCAACATCGCAGTGAAAATGATCCACTTTCAGAAGGCAGAGGGTCTCGGGAGTATAGGGTGGGGCTGGTGGAGGTGAAGGCTCTCCCCTCCCACTTCAGTTTTGGGTTGGGCTTTTAGTTTAACCAAGGACATCTCTCAACTTGGAGAATAATTCAGCCCTCAACAGCGCCTCAAATCTGCTATGGCTTTGCAGCGCAGCAGCAAGAATGTTTAATATATAATAGATAAAAATTTCATCCAAAAAAATAATAAAATAAAGATTCTTGCAACCCACCCCCCAACACCAATTCCTACTCTAAAGTTAACCCATCACTTGTACTGCTAATACTTGACTTCTATGCTTAACTGGAAACCTAGATCCAAAAGACTGAAACTGAATCTTCACCCCAAAACAAAACAAAATAAAATGAGTAGTTGAGGTTCATGGCATGTAGTTTAGGTAAACACACGCACGGGGAGAAGGGGAGGAGAGGGAGGTATGGGAAGCAAAGCGGAGTGACAGACACATTCAGTCGGGCAGATGTCTAAACAGAGTGTGGAGACACCAGGAAGAGCTCCGTGTGGATTCTGTGCACGCGGTTGGAGGCACCAGATCCCTCCATGGCAGATCCAAGAACAGGGAGCTCGGGGAGGAGGCCATTCCTGTCATTCCAGTTTTAGAAGTTCCACATCAAAGGCGAGAGTGGCGTGTGGTGGGATGATGCCAGAGTGCCCAGTGGCACCATAGGCATAGTCTGGAGATATAGTTAATTTGGCTCTCTGACCCACACTCATCTGGGCAACCGCTCTTTCCAGCCTCGGATCACCTCCTGCTTGCCTAGCATAAACTTAAAGGACTTGTTCCTGTCCCGGGAGGAATCACATTTCTTTCCATCTTCAAGCATCCCGGGGTAGTGCACCACGCAGGTCTGGCCGCGCTTCGGGAAGGTGCGCCTGTCTCCTGGGGGGATGGTCTCCACCTGCACTCCCATGCTCACAGCGGACGCTGGGCTAGCTGGCTGCGCGAAGGGCGGTGTGGACGGAGGATCCTGGCGGCAATTCCACGGCCCTGCCCGTCCCTCCGCGTGTCGCCTGCACACGCGCCAAGCTCTACTTTTTACCGCAAGATAATCGTGGTAACCACATCTGAGAGTGAATTCTCCTTCTTCATAGTAATAGTATGAACCTAACGGGGTTCTTGTTGGTTGTTGACCAAAGAACCAGCAACACAGATTTAGCCCAAATGAACTGTTACAATAAATTTTCAACAACAGTTAACCTGCATAACAATCTTGAAGTGAAAAATCTTTCTCCAAGCCCTGCGATGGGTATAAAGGTTCTACTTGTAGGGATTTCACAAAAGTTTATAAAGTAAACCTACAGGCTGTAAAATCTACAACTCTTAAGTGCCACACATTTAACTTATCCAAGTGAATATTTTAGATACTAAAAATACTCTTAAATAACGATCTCAAATAACTTAATGCCACTAATAATAATGGGGTTTTTAAATGGTTATCTATCCAGCTGGGTGCAGTGGCTCATGCCTGTAATCCCAGCACTTTGAGAGGCCAAGGCAGAAGGACTGCTTGAGCCCAGGAGTTCAAGACCAGCCTAGGCAGCACAATGAGACCTTGTCTCTCCAAAAAAAAAAATTAATCAGGCATGGTGATGCATGCCTGTGGTTCCAGCTACTCAGGAGGCTATGGCAAAAGGACGGCCTGAGCCCAGGAGTCAAGGCTGCAGTGAGCCATGATATTGCCACTGTATTCCAGCCTGGGAGACAGAGGGAGACCTCCACCTCAAAAAAAAAAAAAGTTATCCAAGGCAATATGAACGGGGGCTTTTGTCTTGCCCACTTTGCAAATCAGTTGTTCAAAAATAAGTCACAGATCTTACGTCTGGGCTTAAAGTTAGAACTTTTTTCTGGATAATAATCACCATTTCAGCATATGCACCTTTTAAAGCCTCACCAAGAATTGTTATTCTGAGGGCTCAGTGAATTAGGGGTCAGTGGAAGGCACCCTCCTGTTCCTCTCACCCCTGCTTTTGTCTCTTCTCTCACCATTCTTTCCAGTGATATGCTCTCCCTCCACCTCTCCCAGACACAAGAGCAGTCTTTGATTTAGACGAACAGATGTCTCAGCTCCAACACTGGCAAGTTGTGAAAGTATGGTCAAACCCAAGTTTCCTCATATGAAAGATAACTAAAAATAGTATCCACCAAAGGGTTTTGAGAGGAGTTGGTGAAAGATGACTCTTGATTTGAGGCCTGCCATGTAGTAAGTGCTCAGTAACTTGGGATTTTTATTGTTATTAAAATGAGAAAAGTAACCACTTAGAAATGCATTGAATGAAAGAGGGAGTTAGAAAAGGAGTTTCTGGCTTATTTTGATTGGATACCAGCATATAATGATCTCTTTTCCCTTTCCACGCATATCCCCATGTCTCAGGACAGCTCCGGTGCCAGCGAGTGTCCGTGGGTAAATACAACGAAATCGCAAAGTTGAAGAGACACAGTTGTCTTTCAGTGTGGCTGATCATAGACTCCTAAAGAATGTCATCTGTCACTCATAAGCGGACCTTGAACATTTACCATAATACTATAAGAAAGGGATTGGCAGTAGCAGGACACTGCCGGGGGGGGTAACACATAACATCAATAAGGGGACCTGATCTCAAACCAGGCAAAGTGGTGACCAAAGGGAGGCCCAAACTTTACCTGTATGATGACCACTTGTATACTGAAAGGGTACCATGGGAATAATGCAAGACTGCAAGGAAGTACAAAATAGAAGAAAATATATTATTCACTGTTCACAGATGAAAAGGGAACCAACACTCAGAGGCAAGTGTGGCCCTGAAGGCTGGGGAGCTGAGTATATTTAAAGCTCTTGAAGGAGAGTTTAGGCTGGGAAGAATGTACAGAGTTTCATTTTTTGAATAGATAACAGAAGTCACATAAGTCTTGTGTCTTGACATCACCAGGCATCTGTATCTTATGACTCCAGGTAGTGGGCGGGAGTATAGCTGCAGTAAATTGAAAATGATACATCAAGGCCAGAAACACAAACACCTTGAACAATTTGGACTGCATACCTTTTAGTTGGTTGCAATTTTTGTTTATTCCAGGAGTTTTAGTTTATAAGGCTTGATTAAACATTATACATACAATTAATACAAAGACATGAAAGAAAGCAGTTGTCATTTAGAGACTAAGGGAACAGATACATTTCTGGGTTAGAAAGCTTTTTTTTTTTTTTGAGTTGGAGTCTCACTCTTGTCACCCAGGTTGGAGTGCAGTAGCACACTCATGGCCACCACAGCCTCGACCTAGGTGATCCTTCCACCTCAAGTAGCTAGAACCACAGGCATGTGCTACCACACCTGGCTAATTTTTTGATTTATTATAGAGACAAGGTCTTGCCATATTACTCAGGCTGGTCTCCAACCCCTGAGCTCAGGCAATCCTCTCACCTCTGCCTCCCAAAGTGCTGGGATTACAGACTTGAGCCACCACACCCAGCTAGAAAGTTTTAATAGCCCATTTTGTATCTAGGTCTGGTGGAGGCGTCTCCAGGGACATGCAGTCCTTTGTGTATGTCTCCTGCTTGCTAGGGGGCTCAATGAAGCTTGTTGTGTTCCCCTCAGTGCCAGGAACAGCTACTAGATTCAAGGACAGTGAAGGGGGACAAAGAAAAAAAGTCTATTTTTAAATTTAAGTGGCTTCCACATTTCCGAGATTCCCTGCTTTCATATACTTAATCTTGACTTGTACACCATATCTTTAAAATAAAAAAAAATAAAAATTCAAAATAGAAAGAAAAAGAACATCATCTGTGTTTTGCCTGCTTTTCTGGATCACTGGATCACTGTAGGCCTAGAAAGAGGTCAGGATAGAACTCTTCTAGTTGAAAGAGAGCCAGGGTCTTCATGGGCCTTGAAGGATTTCACTTACACCAACTTCTTTGAGCCTCACGATAATGCATTTGTTCAACTAATGCATTTGTTCAACTAATATTTATGCATTTGTTATGCATTTGCTATGCATTTGTTCAACTAATATTTACTGAAAGCTGCCTTGTATAGGAACTGGTGTTGAAAACAGTACATACACATAGTTCCCACCTTCAGAGTGCTCTTAATCTAGTAGAAAAGATGCAGTCAACAAATAAACCAGCAACAAATAAACCAGCAAGTAATCATTCAAACAGGGCTGATCTTCTGCTGGTACACACTGACCAGGTTGATAGTTAAATATCGGAATACCATCTCCTATATAATGACAAGTTCTGATGAGTGCAGTGAAAGCAACAGAGTTAACAAATGTCAAGATAAAAAAATGGAAAGAACTGTATTGTGAGGAAATGAGTGTCCCTTCATTGGGGGCAATTAAGCACAAATTGGACCCTTAGCAAAGGTTCATCAAATTAAGATTTGAACTAGATGACATGTTAGACCCCTTTCAAGCCTGGGATTATATGATTTTATGAAAACTATAGAACTGTATAATATTTATTACCACTATTCATGCTGCCCCAGCTCTGTCAAGTCATCACAGCATTTATTTGCCCGGGAACACTATGTTATGTCAACTGTCTTGATTTACCTTTGAAGGCGGGAGTGAAGAGGCATGGATGCTTAGAGAGCTGGCTGAGCATGACTACTCTGGTGTGTTTGAGTACCACACCCCATACAGACAAAGGAGCTGGGTGCCAAAGAAAGTCGCAGAGTGGTCATAACCACTCAGGATGCAGCCAAACATTACAATTGCAACCTAGGGATAGACTCTGGTGATACATGCTTCATTGTTATATCCTTATTAATTTACCCAAAAGCTAAAAGTATGCATGTTATTATTTTATTTTATGAACAAACATTAAAATAGAAATGGGCTGGGTGCAGCGGCTCACATCTACAATCCCAGCACTTTGGGAGGCTGAGGCAAGAGGATTGCCTGAGCCTAGGAGGTCAAGACTAGCCTAGGCAACCTAGCAAGACCTCATCACACAAAAAATCAAAAAATTAGACAGGCATGGTGGTGTGTGTCTGTAGTTCCAGATACTTGGGAGGTTGAGGTGAAAGGATCATCTGAGCCCAGGAGGTTAAGGCTGCAGTGAACCATGACCATGTCACTGCATTCCAGCCTGGATGACAGAGTGAGACAGAGAGAGTGACACACACACACACACACACACACACACACGGGGAGGGGAGAGACCTTGTAACCAATGAGTTAGTATTTTAACACTTTTGTTTTCTAATTTGCAGTAATTTTGCAGGATGGCAGTCAAATAAGTGCAAGAGCATCTCCAGAAACCGGAGACTGTCTTCAGCCCACCACAGCAGCAGTCGTCCAGGCCCCAGCAAAACCTTCTCTCCTGCAACCAGCTGACCTAGTGCCTCACAAAACCTTAGCAGTAGGATCAACGGATGTGCACATCACCTCTCAAACAGCTACCACAATAAACATTCCAGCAACGACCTCAGTAACTACAAAATACATCCCATCCACCAGACCAGTTACCCACACGCTAGTCACAACCCAGGCCACACCCAGTAACTCACACTCGGCTCCTCCAGGTACTGAGGCCACAATTGGGCCCAGCTTAGCTCCTCAGTCACCACCATCCAGCCCCACCCAACCAGCCCGGACAACTGGGACCAGTCCATCAGTCATCAGCCGCACAACTGGGAAAACCACCCAACCCAGTAACCAGACCGCCCTTCCAGCAACTTTGTCTACGGCACTACACAAAAGCACAACCAGTCAGAAGCCTAGCCAAACCACGCAGGCTCCAGGGACCACGACAGTCACACGCAATGCCACCCAGACAGCCTCTCCTGCCCCCATAGTTCCTGGGACCACCCTTGTACCTCAGCCGTCTTCAGCCAAGACTGGAGTTTATCAAGTTCGAAATGGAAGCAGGCTCTGCATAAAAGCAGAGATGGGGATAGAGCTGGTTGTTCAAGACAACGAGTCGGTAAGTTGGGGCCTGGGACAGTGACTATCTTCAAAAATTTTGAGTTGAGTTTGCTTTGCTAGGAATGAGCATTCCTCTGTGTCCTGTGCCTTTAAATGAAATAAACAGGGCCAGGCATGGTGCCTCAAGCCTATAATCCCAGCACTTTGGGAGACTGAGGTGAGAGGATTTCCTGAGCCCAGGGGTTCGAGACCAGCCTGGGCAATTTGGCGAGACCTCATCTTGCCAAATTTTTAAAAAATCAGTCAGGTTAGGTGGCACGTGCCTGTAGTTCCAGCTACTCAGAAGGCTGAGGCAGAAGGCTTGCCTGAGCCCAGCAGGTCAAGGCTGTGGTGGCTGTGAGCATGCCGCCAGCGTGAGCAACAGGGTGAGGCTAACTAACTAATTAAATAAATAAAACGAGTAAGCTGCACTCCAGTATGGGTGATAGGGTGAGACTTTAACTCAATAAACAAATACATACGTACATAAAACAAATGAGTTCTGCTAAATCTCCAGAGAAATAGAATCAGAAGATGAAATAAGTAGCTGTGGGCTTTTCTTTCTCCAAAATGCTCCGTTAACAAGTGACTATAGGCCTGGTGCAGTGGCTCATGCCTGTAATCCCAGCACTTTTGGGAGACTGAGGCAGGAGGATTACTTGAGCCTAGGAATTTGAGACCAGCCTGGGCAACATAGCCAGACCTCGTTTCTACAAAAAAATAAAAACAAAAAATTAGCCAGGTGTGGTGGTGCACACCTATAGTTCCAGGTACTTGGTAGGCTGAGGTGAAAGGATCACCTGAGCTCAGAAAGTCAAGGCTGCAGTGAGCCCTGAATGTACCACTGCACTCCAGAGTGAGACCTCAACTTAAAAAAAATAAAAAAGGTGAATATGTTAGAGATACATATAAAAATAGAAACAAATAGTGTCTCTTTGGAGAGAGAAAGGCACACAACAAAAAAGGAAATATTCAGGCAACCCCTTCAGGTCCCCTTTCACTGTGGGAGTTTCCTGTCCTCTCAATAAATCCTGCTTTAAAAAAAAATGATAGCCAGGCATGGTAGCGCGTGCCTGTAATTCCGGCTACTTGGAAGACTGAGGCGGAAGGATCGCCGGAGCCCAGCAGGTCGATGCTGGGGTGGCTGTGAGTGTGCCATGACGCTCCAGCCTGGGTGACCAAGTGAGACTCCAACTCACAAAAAAAAAGAAAAGAAAAATTTAAATATTCACACCTCTCACATTTAGCAACATGGGCAGAGTGTTGGGGAATATTCAGTATTGATCCCAGCCTGGTCCTACCACACCAGATGATTCATAAGCCTCAGATCCTTTTCTGTGAAATGAGAGATTTAAATCAGTTGGTCTCCAGGGTGTCAAACAGTTGTGGCATTAATTTGGAAAATTCAGACTAACAAGAAGACCGGGGGCGAGGGTTATGATTATTTTATTTACTCAAGAAATCATTATGAAACAATACTTTCTTTTTTCGTACAATTTTTATGATTTCAAATAAAACTTTCACACCCAGCTTTTCTTCTGAGACAGAGATACCATAGAGAGCAAATTCTTTCCTGTACTACCTCTCAGCACATTTAACTTAACATAATTAAATTTCATGCAGCAGCTGGGTACAGTGGCTCATCCCAGTGGGAGGCCAAGGGAGGAGGATAGGTTGAGGCCAGGAGTTCAAGAGCAGCCTGGGCAACATAGCAAGGTTCCCATTTCTACCAAAAGAAGAAGAAAAAGAAGAAAAAAGGAATCAATAAATCCTCATTTTCTAGCCATCAAAACCACAAAAAACTCTTTTTCACACAGTTTATTAGGAATAAAGCTGCCATGAATTATTTATCAAGGAACTCTTCTCTGTGGGAGAACTCTTTTTTTTTTTTTATTTTGGAGTCAGGATCTCACTCTATTGCCCAGGCTGAAGTGCAATGCAGTGGTATGTTCACAGCTCACCACAGCCTCAGCCTCCTGGGCTCAAGAGATCATCTTGCCTCAACCCCCTGAGTAGCTGAAACCATAGGCACACTCTACCATTCTGGCTAATTCTTTTTATTTTTTGTAGAGTCTCCCTGAGTGGCCTAAGCTGACCTTGAACTCCTGGGCTCAAATGATCCTTCCACCTAGGTCTCTCAAAATGCTGGGATTACAGATGTGAGCCACTGTGCCTGGCCAAGAACTCCTCTTTAAGAAAGCTTTTGAACATAACAGTTTGGAAATGAGAGATGTCATCTGGGTATTTTGCAGTTCTCCAGTGAACACCCGCTTAGCCCTGGGTTCTGGGCTCACTTACGAGCCTGCGTTTCTGGTTCCCTACTGAGAGTTTTCTTCTATGTCTCATTGAGTGGATCAATCTTATTTGGTTTAGGTTTTTTCACCTCGGAGTTACTTCAACATCGACCCCAATGCAACCGAAGCCTCTGGGAGGTGTGGTTCCCGAAAATCCAAGCTTCTCTTGACTTTTCAGGATGGATTTGTGAACCTCACATTTACCAAGGTGAGGCCTGAGCTCCTTCTCACTCTCTGATTCCAGCATAATTTTCCCCTTTCTCACCCTGGACCCAGTGGTACAATCCCACCCTTCAGTTTTGAGATCTTTGCTGATAAGAAAGAGGAGAAGAGGAAATGTCAACATCTTATGTTTGCTTTCTTCCCATTTCAGCCTCCCCTGTAAGACCTTTGGGGCCTCTAAGGGGAGACTTGGCCCATGGGGAACCTAACCACTTGTGCCCTTTACAAAACACCTAGAGGAGGAAGTTGTACAGATAAAAAGACTCGTAGAAATTCCCAGTGGGCATGAGAGAAATGCAATTATTCTAAAACCAAATCAAATGTCAGACCGGGTTATTTCCAACCACAACAGGCAAAATTCAGGGACTGACTAGGCACTGGGTGTCCTAGTGTCCAAGACAGTGAAGTAGACAGAACAGTCAGAGTTTGAGGCCAGAGAAACTCACCACAAACATGGCTGTCACTGGCTCACCTTAGATGACATCGGGCAGGCAACTTAGCCTGTCTGAGCTTTATTTTAACATTTGAAAAATGGGGGAAAGGACTTAGAGATGGCCTCTGTACAGAGTGTGCCCCATACATGGGAAGTAGTAGGTGTTTGATAGCCCGCAGCTATGATTGCAGTGACTTAAATAGGCAAATGTCTTGGGGACCAGACGGGGCTGATCATCCTGCCCTCCTGCGAGTGACTTGCCCCTGCTTGACCCAGAGTGTCTTTCAAATAGGCCCAGGAGGAGCTGGGAGGAGGCACTGAGAGGCGCCTTGCAGCTGGGACTAACTACATGATCTCAGGCTAGTTGGGGCCTATTTCCTGATCTATAAAATGAAAATAATGACATCTGCTTAGTAGGACTATTGGGACTATTAGAAATGGGCATACAGACCGGGCATAGTGGCTATGCCTGTAATCCCAGCACTTTGGGAGACAAAGGCAGGAAAATTGCTTGAGCCCAGGAGTTCGAGACCAGCATAAGAAACATAACAAGACCCTGTCTCCACAGAACATTTTAAAATTAGCTGGGTATGGTGGTGTGTGGCTTGTAGTCCCAGCTACTAGGGAAGCTGAGGCAGAAGGATCACCTGAGCCTAGGAGTTCGAGGCTGCGGTGAGACATGATGGTGCCACTGCACTCCACATGAGTGACAGTGAGATCCTAACTCAAAAAGAAAGAGAGAGAGAGAGGGAGAGAAAGAAAGAAAAAGAGAGAGAAAGAAAGAAAGAAAGGGAGGTATATAAACTGTCTAGCACAGTGCTTGGTACATAACAATGTTCAAGAAAGGGTAGTGGTTATGATCGCTGTTATTATCTTGGCCTCAACGGTTTTACGTATTCTCTTGGTGCCTACTTGTCTCGGTGAGGTAGAGATGCATTTGGGAAGTCGGTGGTTTCCTTTCGGTACCAAATAGGCAAGACATAACGTCTCACACATTAATTCCTCACACCCAATGAGAAAGACATTCGGGGCAGAATAAGTGCTGTATCCCTCAACAACTGAAGTCAAGCTATCGAGGGGTCAGGAATTTCTGAAAAAGCCACTGGCAAAATGACAGAGGATACAGACATAGGTGTTTGTTTAGGACTCGACTCTCCCGGAACACTGCTGTGTGACTATTTGCCTAGTGGAAGGCCTCAGAAACCTCCAGTACAAGTGCCACTGCTGCCATGGCTCAGGCAGACCTGTAAACTGGAGTTTCTTGGACACTTTCAACCTTTCTCTTTGTTACCTTCTTCTGCCTCCTGATGTTCCAGCCCTGACTTTTTGAAGTTTTCAGGCTGGACTCTGACCACACTCTATCCAAGTGTTGAATCCTTGCCCTTCTGAAAATCCTTTGAGCTCCCAAATTACCTCTTCCTCCAGAGGTAAGGGCAGGGAGTATTCAGAAAGAGCTAGAAGCACAAGCAGGTCCTTTCTCTCCCTTCCCTCCACCCACCTTCAGGAAGGGGCAAGGTGAGCCACTCTCAATCCATGGCCCCAAGGGTTGCAATATCTGCTTTCCCTGAGTCTCACCAGTCAAGCTCACTCATCCATCTCATTCCTCAGCACGAATTCCCCAAGCAGTTGACCTTAGCGTAGAGACAGGAGGAGAACTGAGAGGCTCGTGGGAAAAAGTCCCTACCAGCCTTAGTGCTCCCAGGAAATTTCTGCATTTAAAAACAGAACTTGTGGCCGGGTGTGGTGGCTCAAACCTGCAATCCCAGCACTTTGGGAGGCTGAGGCGAGAAGATTGCCTGAACCCAGGGGTTCAAGACCAGCCTGGGCAACTTGGTGAGACATCGTCTCTACAATTAAAAAAAAAAAAAATTCAGCCGGGCATGATAGCACGCATCTGTAGTTCTGGCTACTTGGAAGACTGAGGAGGAAGGATTACCTGAGCCCAGCAGGTCAACGCTGGTGTGGCGGTGGGTGTGTCACTGTACTCCAGCCTGAGCAACAGAGTGAGACCCTGACTCAAAAAAAACAAAACAAAAAAACCCAGAATTTGTTTAGGCCAAAACAGGAACCATAAATTCAAGAATTATAGGAGCTAAGCATACAACTTAATAAAAAACAATTTTTCTTTTCCTTAAAGCAGGTAGTCCTAAAGTTTTATTTTCTCAATTTTGATGAAGATTGAAATTGATCTTCATCAAAAATTAAAGACAAGCCGGGTTCAGTGGCTCAGCCTATAATCCCGCAGCTTTGGGAGGCTGAGGTGAGTGGATTGCCTGAGCCCGCGGGTTTGAGACCCACCTGGGCAACTTGGCGAGACCTCATCTCTACAATAAATCAAAAAATCAGCCAGGCGTGGTAGCGCATGCCTGTAATTCCGGCTACTCGGAAGGCTGAGGCGGAAGGATCGCCGGAGCCCAGAAGTCGAGGCTGCGGTGGCCGGGAGCGGCCACTGCACTCCAGTCTGGGCAACAGAGTGAGACTCCAACTCAAAAAAAAAAAAAATTAAAGATAAAAAAGATTTTATTTTTCCATTCAATCTAGTAAGAAAAACATTAGGGTAAGCATGACATGTTAAGTGGCAAGTGACAAGGTCTCAGGAATGAAGGGACAAAAGGGAGAACCAGGAGAGTGCCTATTTCCCCAACCCCCACCCCACCTGTCCCCACCTCCCCAATCCTCTTATCTTCCCCCAAGAGCAGCCACTCCTCAACTCCAGCAGGTAGTCCCAGCGGCAGGGTTGATGTCTAGTCCTGGAGATTGTCACTGTCCTTTGTGGCATTTATTCGGGATGGTCAGATGTTCATTCTGATGGCTGCCCCACTGTGCCACTTGTTCAATTTTTTACATATCACCTCTATCAGGCAGTAATGAGAAGGCAGCATGGCCAGATCTCCTGATTGTTCAAGGTAAGGCAGAAATCCAGATCTTTTTTATAAAAGCACAGATTTTTTAAAAAATGTTGGCAACACTTTAAAAAAATGTTGAATACCATGCTAGCCAATCAAAATACAGCCACAGAGTGGGACATTGTGGTTTAGGCCCGTAATCCCAGCACTTTGGAAGATTGGGGTGAGAGGATTGCTTAAACCCAGGAGTTTCAGATTAGTCTAAGCAATATAAAGCGACCTTGTCTCTACAAAAAATTAAAAAATTAAAAAATAGCTAGGTACATGCCTGTAGTCCCAGCTACCCAGGAGGCTGATGTAGGAGGATTGCCTAAGCCCAGGAGACCAAGGCTTCAGTGAGCCACGAGTGTGTCACTACACTGGGTGACAGAATGAGACCTTGACTCAAAGCAAAAAAACACAGCAGTAAGCCAGACCCTACAGACCCTGACACTATGACTTCTGCCCTGATGAGTATATTGTATGAAGTGTAGACAGGAAAGGCCTTCTGTTTTTTTCCCCCAGAAATGAAATGGACTCAGTAATTCAGTCAATCACTTTTCAAATGTTGCTACTCTCTAAACCAGCATTCTCAACCGGGGCAGTATTACCATTTGGGGCCAGGTGAGTCTTTGTTGGGGAGACTGCCCTGTGCCCTGTGGGACATTTGACAGTGTCTCTGGCCTCTAGCCCCTAGATGCCAGTAGCAAACCCCCACCCTCCCTCTGACAACCCAAAATGTCTCCCGACATTGTTGCATGTCTCCTGGGAGGCAAAATCATCCATGATTGAAAGTCATTGCTCTAGAGAAAAAGAAAATCTTAGAAAATATGAGTTCATGTTCATTATAATATAATAGATGTTATAAATGAGAACCAAGGTTTAGGAGCGGTATAGCTCACGTCAGTAATCTCAGCACTTTAAGAGGCCGAGGTGGGAGGATTGCTTGAGCCCAGGAATTGGAGACCAGCCTAGGCAACACAGTGAGATCTCGTCTCCAAAAAATAAAAATTAAAAAATAAAAAATAAGCCAAGAATGGTGGCGCAGGCCTATAGTCCCAGTTACTCAGGAAGCCGAGGCAGAAGGATTGCCTGAGCCCAGGAGGTCGAAGCTGCAATGAACCGTAATTGTACCACTGCACTCCTGCCTGGGTAACAAGATAAGACCCTCACTCAAAAAGAAAGGAAAGGAAAGGGAACCAAAATGTAGAATGATAAATGAATGCTGATTAGGATTTACTTAGGACCTACTTAGTTCCTAGCAATGAGCTTGGCACGTGGTAGAAAATAACAGAAATATAGGCTATATATAGTTCCAGGTTCTAAATCATGTATAATGATCTGTAGTTTTTAAAATTGAAATACTACCAATGACAGCAACATAAAGAAAAGTCTGTCACTTAACCATGTTGTTCAATCAAAACTTAAATTAAGGCATGGTAAGAAGATCACTTGAAAAACTTTTTAAAAATTAGCTAAGCTTGATGGTGCGTGCCTATAGTCCTGGTTACTCAGGAGGCTGAGGTAGGAGGATCACTTGAGCCCAGGAAGTTGAGGTTGCAGTGAGCTGTGATTGTGCCACTGCACTCCAGCCTGGGTGACAGAGTGAGACCACATCTCTGAAAAAATAAAAAGACTTAAAATTCCTTATCATTCACTTTGTGACCA